CTCTACCCTTGCTCCTCCTTCGTCTGCCGCTACCGATTTGCTGTCCTTCACACTTGACTCCGGTGCGACTGCCTGCTTCTTCCGCGACCACACTGCGCTTACGCCCCTTTCCGCACATGCTGCTGTCGCACTTTCTGACCCCTCCTCTGGTCCTGTAGTTGCTCGCAGCTACACTACCCTTCCCTGTCCATCGGTTCCCTCGGCCTGCACATCCCCTTGTTCTCCCGGAACTTAGTTGGTGTCGGATGTCTTCAGGACCTAAGAGTCACCACTATGTTTCCAGGTCACGAGCGATACGTCGTGTGTACCAAGGCCGCCTCAAGTTCTCCCCTTGCGACGTTCCCCCGGGACCTGGTATCTGGCCTCTTTATGCTGGACACTGCTTCCCCCCGGGTGGACCGTCCTCCCCAGATCCTGCGCCTACCCAGGTCGCCGCTGCATGCTCGTGTCGGTCGCTCACTCACCCGTCGCTTCTGTGGCACCACCGCCTAGGTCACCCTGCACTCCCGTGTCTGCGTCACATGTCTCAGCACGGTTGTGTCCTAGGTCTCCCTGCGTCACTTCCTGCCCTCCCTCCCTTGCCTGCGCCGCCGTGCACGCCTTGCGACGAGCGCCGGCTGCACCGTGCTCCTCACTCCTCCTCGCTTCCTCATGCCACCGCACCCCTCGAGACCCTGCACCTGGACGTCTGGGGCCCAGCCCCCGTCCTTGGACCTTGGCGTGAGCGCTACTTTCTAGTGCTCGTTGATGACTACACGCGCTACACCACGGTGTTTCCTTTGGAGCGGAAGGCCGACGTGCCTAACGTTCTTATCCCGTGGGTCCTCGCTGCACGCCTCCACCGCGGTCTCCCTGTGCTGTGTCTCCACTCCGGCCGTGGCGGAGAGTTCGCCTCCTGCCGTCTCACCGCTTCCTTCACTCCCGTGGCGCCACTTTCAACGAGTCTATCTCCTTTTACCACCACTTTCCCCACCGAGGTCTCCCGGTTTCCCCTCCCCTATTTCTGGTTCCCACTCGTCACCCCTACTCTCCTTCCTCCCCGTCCTCCTCTGTCTGGTGTGTCTCACGTCACTCCTCTCGCGTCGGTTGTCCTGGTCGAGGAATCGGCTGACTCTGGTGGACTTGCGGCGCAGTTTTCGCCGCTTGTCTCTCCCCCGGTGTCGCCTCATCTGCCGTCGTTGTCGCCACCGCCGCAGCAGCCGCCGCCGCCGCCGCCACAGCAGCCACCGCCGCCACAGCAGTAGCAGCCATTCGTGAACTCTAGGGGTGCTGGCGTTGAGGAGGGTGCTAGTCATGGGGTTCCTGTCGTGGCTTGTCCCGGCGGGCTCTGGGGTGTCACCGGTGCTGGAGAGGGTTCTCGTTCTGGGGGTGCTGGAGTGGAGTGTTCCGGAGGTAGTCGCGTTGCAGCTGGCGGTCCAAGTGTCGGCGTCGAACAGCAGCAGCAGTCACTGCCGGTGTCCACCCTTCGCCTGCTCGGCCTTCCTTCCCCCGACTGCTCGCTTGCGCCTAAAGATCATCAGCGGCACTGCGTGCAGCTTGGTCTGGTTCATGTAGACCTTGATTCTGTACTCCTCTATATTTATACCTTCCAGACTGGCCTTGTGGCTTCTCTTCTAGTGGCCGGACTAGTAGTGCCGCCCTGGTTTGCTCTTGTTTTGTTTGTACTCTTGCTGACTGGTCTTCGGACCCCTGCCTCAGAGGTTGGACTAGTAGTGCCACCCTGAGTTGCGTGTTTCTTGCTCATCACTACCCCTTATCTAGCCTAGGGGGTGTGTCAACTTATACATATGGTTGTATGTAGAAGTTATAGGCTAGAAAGGTGTATGTTCTTAGAGGGTACAACTCCAACCCTATATCTCCCTTGTTCTCTCTTGTTTCTAGTTATTCTCATATTCTACAAATTCTTCCCCGGCCGTCATATGAATGACGGTACAGTATTTGGCAGGAAAACATGGAAGCATTTTGTACTGTAACGTCATTCATGTGACGGCCGGGGAAGAATTTACCGTCAGTGTTTGACGGTTGTCGGCAACCCCGATTTCAGGTTCGTGTAGTGACGCACAGATACTGTACTATATGCTGACAGGAAAATCGGCAACAGTGATTATGAAATCCATGGAAATCCGGACCTCCCACTGGGCATTCCGAGTTGGGTAGAAAAAACAAGGACGAGTGAGGCGAAATTTGCAGCTCGATATGTACAATTTTAACTCAATGAAATTGTGCCAAGTGGTCCAATTAGAAGCGCAATAACTAGAATGAATGCTAAACTGCCCCTGAGAGCTCATAACGGGACAAAATCCTCCTCCGGGTGCGCTAACCGTGACTACAGTGCACAGGGTCCTAGTAACAGTAACCTAACAACTAAAAACCCATATGAGAAAGAGCAACTTCACGGAAGAAGAAGGTTGTACAACCGTTAGATCGTCTAGTAGTTCGGAGCAACCGTTAGTCTAAATCGACCTCTGGAAACGAAGTGTAAAGAGGTTGTGCGAGAAACTTGGATTCAGAACCGTCCGATGTAAACAACCAACTAGATGGATGTGTAAAACATATCGCGAGCCAATTTCGCCCAAACCTGATTTTTTGTTTGAAAGTTTTATCGAAACCAAAGGGCCTCGCCACCCGCGTTTCGTTTTCGTCCCATTTTTTTCACCTCACCTACCAATCAAAGGGCGTGTCCCTATGTGTTACAATGTCATGCTACTTTGTATCAAAACTGTATTGAGGGGCAAAATCCGAAATGATATGAAGTGCATGACCTCGTGTCACGTAGGAACACGCCCAAAGTCTACCTTCCCCAACCAAGTGTTAAAGCCACAGTACACATTCACTTCAATTTGTTTCAAGTGATAAACATTTGAAATAGTGGTAACTGTGTGATGCCTAATGGAGGTGGCGAGATCTTGCTATCTGCGGATAAACATTTGAGGGGGGATTGTGGCATTTGTGTACTGATAATCCCGATCGCCACCTCTCGACTCATCCCCCTTCCCTTCACGTTTTCAATTGCCCCTTCCCCCAACAATCTCGATTCCCCCTGGCCCCCCTCCTGCCCCCTCTCATTCTATTCCCCTGGCCCCCCAATTTCGAAGCCCCCCTGCCCCCCAACATTCGATTCGCCCTACCACCCATTGCTCGTCCAACTTCCCCCGTCAATTCTGTTCCCCCCTTCCCCTCTCTAGTCCAATTCTTCCCAGTCAAGTTCAATCCCCCACACCCCTGGTGATTTCCTCGTCAAGTTCGATTCCCCCCACCCCTCGCAATTCTAACTTCCCCCAATCAATTTCGATTCCTCGCACTCCGCGAAATTTCTGTTAAAGTAGGCTAGGTAGCTAGGAAGGTAGCCATGAAAAGGACGAGAGGTTTAGCTAGGGGGCAGGATTGTTGAGAGAAAAGAGAGTCACCAAGAAAGAGAATGAGATACAAGAAGGGGGGGGGGGGTGGTTGTCCCCTCTACAATAGGATTCAGCAATGTTAATGTCGCACACCTACCAAGCCTAACAAACATATAATATATATATATATATATATGTTATTTGACACACCCCCTAGGCTTGGTTATGGCAAGCCCACCCCCACACGCAGCACCCCCACACCCTTGCACCCCCATGCCCTGCAGCAGCTGTGGCTTGGTCAGCCCGGTCGACCACTCTACGTGCGCGGCGGCGACGTCAGCGGCGGGGGCAGCGGCGGCGGCGACGACGGTACGACGACAGCGGCAGCTGCGACGGCGGGTGGCAGCGGAGCCAGCGGCACCTGCGGCATCGGCGGAGGCTTCGACGGCGGCGGCGGTGGCGACGGAGACCGTGGCACCCGGCGACGTGGCTCGGCTCTGAAACGACGGGGCCGCACGGCGCGAGATAGCCATCGGCTGCGGCGGGGAGAAAGGGAAATGCAGAAGAGGGGGGGCAAGGCTGCAGCGAGACGCCATGGCGGCGCGGCGCTGGCTGGCATGCGGGCAAGCTGACCGGCGCTAAAACGTTGCGCGGCCAGCTGCCGCCCGTCGACGACGCCACGGCAGCTGAACGACGCCGCCACGACGCGGCGTCGCTGCCGCGGCAGCAGGTCGACACTGCCACGACAGCACGACGAAGCCGCCATGGCAGCACGACATGGCTGCCACGGCGGCGCGGAAGTGAGGAGAGGACGCTGCGGAAGCGTGAGGAGAAGGCCCGAGCGGAAGGGCCTGCTATGAAACCATGTTAAAGTAGGCTAGGTAGCTAGGAAGGTAGCCATGAAAAGGACGAGAGGTTTAGCTAGGGGGGAGGATTGTCGAGAGAAAAGAGAGGCACTAAGAAAGAGAAGGAGATACAAGAAGGGGGGGGGGGGTTGTTGGGGGGGGGGGTTTGTCCCCTTTACAGTAGGATTCAACAATGTCAATGTCGCACATCTGCCAAGCCTAACAAACATATATGATTTGACAATTTCCCCTCGACGAAACTCAGCCCAGTTCACGTCAATACTTCGCCTCTCGCCCTCCAATCACTTCCACCTCCACATTTCCATCCCGAGACGCTTTGAATGTGTACCGCGGCTTTAAACTTTAGTAATTATGAGATGCGGGCTTTAAGTTGTTACTGCTTCAACCCGTAGTCCGTTCAAACTTCGCGCCTGGAGCTCTTTTGGTCAGTCCGTTCACTTCTGCCCTCCCTCCCGCTCCCTACCGATATTTCGTCCTGCCCTGATATTTCGTCCGCGACAGTGTGATGTGAACCCTCGCTTCACGCTGATAACACGGCAGCAGGTGGATCCATTACGGTATCAATTTGAGCTGGCGAAAACTGGTTCATGTTTCAGGCGAAAAGCTGTTGTCTCACGATAGGCGATTTTGACGAACAGCCATTGTGGTACAAAAGAAACTGGCAACACACGATTATGATTCCTGTGGCGACTGAAGCGAAATTGTATCCTACGAGCTACAGAATGTTGGCGAAACAACTCAGCTGAACAGCACCAGCCCTCTCGCCTCAACTCCCTCCACCCACTTCGTTTCGTCATTTGATTTTCCATCAATACCTAATTAGGGTTCAGAACCGACTTAGTAACCCTAGGACACTGGTCCGTAGCGGCGACAGCGTAGCAGGCAGGCGTAGAAGCTAACGACGGCGGCGTGCACGGCGAGCGACGCCGTCAGATGCGGCGAGAATGTCCGATGGACTGCTCGGCTTCGCTCACCTCAACCACCGACCCAGCGAGTCAGGCTGGCAGTCCGACAGCTCCACGCCTAAAGAGTCAAAGGTCTTCACAACATGCACAACCGTACTAGGACCGTTACTAGAGGGTTACCCGCCGGACTCGTCCGCGAAGCACGAGGATGCGGCGAAGCATTCGTTTAGTCTTAAGAAGCTGTTTGGCGCGAAGTCCGGGAAGTCTAAGGAGGAGGAGGCGAAGGCGCGAGACGCGGAGATTAAGTTTGTGTTGCAGGCCGCCGCGACGCCGTTAGCTTCGGTTCCGAAGCAAATAAGTCTGCCTCGACCGACGACCCCCGAACTAACGCAGGTACACTGATCCTGGAGGGTTGCGAAGCAATTGCGAGAGTTACTGAAGGCGACCATTTTGTTGCATTTCGCTATATTTCGCCACATTAGCTGCTGCGTGTACACCGCAAGTAGCCTTCGTCGTTGCAGTTGGTCGTACGGCCGTTAAAAAGGTGATTGGTCAGCGCGAATGTAAGTGTTGCCGCGTATCGTACGCAACCGTTTCGTACGCAACCGTATCGTACGCAACCGTATCATCTGCGACTGTATCGTGTCGTCGCTGGGCTGTCCGCGTACTCCGTATGCCGCTGATTTCGGGAAGGCTCAGTCCTCTTATGACTATCTAGACCCATAGAAAAATCCTGTTCGCGAAAATGGCACAATGTCAAGGCGCTCACACGTCGACACGACTATGCCGTCGGCCTAAAAAAATATATTTTGAACCATAAAAAAACTCCTTAGTCTTATCCTACGGTGCGGAAAGGGCGACTTAAGGTACCGCACCGCACAGGGTCCTTACCCCTGATACATACATGAAGATGCATACATGAAGATGCATACATGAAGATGCATACATGAAGATGCATGATACGACCCCTGTGCCTGCCGTTACCCCCACATTGCCCCCGGTCGTGTTACAGCTCGCACCGCGATCACCTCCTCGTTCCCTCGCATTCGTCGTTCCCTCCATATTCCGCCTTTTCCGTCCTTACGGAGAAGGGGAATGTGGCTCGAAGCATCGGGTGGCAAGTGGGCCAGGATCGCCTCCCGATTTCTCTCGCCCGATTTCTCTCACACCTCACTCGTTCGTCCACTCCTCTCCCTCCCTCTCTTCTCCACCCGTCCTCTCCCGATCATCCAACCTTCCTTCCCCTTGCTCCCACGACTAAGCATCGCGAGGGGCATTTCTCTGGTTACAGCTTCCGCGGACTGCAGCTCGCACACGGCGCGGCAGGGCTCTACCCATCCTCCTCTCTCCCTCTCGCGCTCCTCCCTTTCTCACACTCCCTCCCTTGCCCCCCAGAACCATCGGACCACCAGGGACACGTTCTGAAGAAACACATAGCACCATCCGGCGGTTGCAACTCGCACATAGCGCAGCAGGGCTTTCCCCAACCCTCCTCTCTCCCTCACCCCCTCCCCCGCCCCCTTCCCATCTTGTCCCCCAGAACCAGCGGACCACCAGCGGACCACCAGCAGACCACCAGCAGACCACCAGCAGACCACCAGCAGACCACCAGCAGACCACCAGCAGACCACCAGCAGACCACCAGCAGACCACCAGCAGACCACCAGGGTCCAGGAACGTTCTGAAGAAAAGCCTTGTCGCTCTTGCCGGGTATGACGCGCGCATGGCACCTCGGGGCTCCGTCATTGCAGGCCTCGTCATCCTCTGGGCATCAGAGGTCGTTGTGGGCGAAAAGACTGCCTCCCCCTCACCTCTTCTTGCTCCCCCCCTTGCTCCGTCCTTGCTCTCCCCTTGCCCCCCAGAACCAACGGACCACTCGGGATGTCGTGAAGAAATACATGGCAGCATCCGGGGGGTACAAGTCGCACATGGCGCAGCAGGGCGCCGTGATCTCGGGCCACATCACCCTCTGGGCGTCCGAGGTCGTCATGGGACGAAACTACATCTTTCCTCACACCGCTTCTGGCTTCTCCCTTGCTCCCCCTCCCTCCCGCCTTGCTCCCCCTCCCTCCCCCCTTGCTCCCCCTGCCTCCCCCCTTGCTCCCCCTGCCTCCCCCCTTGCCCCCCCTGCATCCCCCCTTGCTCCCCCTGCATCCCCCCTTGCTCCCCGCTTGCTTCCCCCTTGCTCCCTCCTTGCTTCGCTCTCGCTCCCAGAACCAACGGACCACGCGAGATGTCCTAAAGAAGTATATCGCTGCGTCCGGCGGGTATAACTCGCACATGGCGCAGCAGGGCTCCGTCATCTCGGGCCACATCACGCTCTGGGCGTCAGAGGTCGTCATGGGGGATAAGACCGTCTATGCCTCGCCCAACGCGCGGCCGCCACCTGGCGCCGGCGCTGACGTGGCGAAGGGAACTTTCCGGCTGGTTCAGATGCCGCCCAACACGTGGCACGTGGGCGTGGTTGTGGGGGATACGAAGATTGAGGCGACGTGTGACGGCGAGCTGGTGTGGCGGCGGTCTAGCTGGATGCCCTCGACCACTGCCAAGGGGCCTGTTCGACCACTGCGGCAGTTGCTAGCTGTAAGTCGTGCCCTGAATGGTAAGGGAACACTGGGAGGGTCGATTTTCTAGGCGCCTCAAAAATCGGCTCCGACTGGTAAGGGGACACAGGAAGGGGCAGGTGGTGTGGCAGAGCGGAGCGGAGGTCTAGTTGAATTGGATGCCTTGGACCACCGCCAAGGGGCCTGCTCGACCACTGCGGCAGTTGCTAGCTGTAAATGTGTGTGAGTGCTAGCAGTAACTGCATATTAGGAGGTGGGGGATACACAGACTGGGGCGATGGGTGTCGGCGAGCTGGTGTGGCGGCGGTCTAGCTGGATGCCCTCGACCACGGCCAAGGGGCCCGTTGGACCACTGAGACAGTTGCTAGAGGTGAGTGTTGTTGGTAGCGGTGATAACAAGCGCTGATAGCCAGGGTACCCCATGTGGTGCTGTGCTGGGGATACGAAAATTGAGGCGACTTGTGCTGGCGAGCTGGTTTGGTGGAGTGGAGGTCTGCTCAGGCTCAGGTAGTGGCTGGCGGTGGGGAGTAAGTTAAGGAGCAAAGACCCTGTGCTTGCAGCATCAAGAGCTGGTGTGGTGTGGCAAAGGAGCAGACGGTTTGAAGGAGGAGGAGCTGGATGCCCTTGACTACTGCCAAGGGTCCGCGTGACGAATGTGGTAGTTGCGTTGCGTTGCTTTGCTTTGCGTTGCTTTGCTTTGCTTTGCTTTGCTTTGCTTTGCTTTGCTTTGCTTTGCTTTGCTTTGCTTTGCTTTGCTTTGCTTTGCTTTGCTTTGCTTTGCTTTGCTTTGCTTTGCTTTGCTTTGCTTTGCTTTGCTATGGGTTCAGCTTCTGATTTCCCCCTCCTCTCCCCCTCCTCTCCCCCTCCTCTCCCCCTCCTCTCCCCCTCCTCTCCCCCTCCTCTCCCCCTCCTCTCCCCTCCTCTCCCCCTCCTTTCCCCCTCCTCTCCCCCTCCTCTCCCCCTCCTCTCCCCTCCTCTTCCCCTCCTCTCCCCCTCCTCTTCCCCTCCTCTCCCCCTCCTCTCCCCTCCTCTCCCCCTCCTCTTCCCCTCCTCTCCCCCTCCTCTCCCCCTCCTCTCCCCCTCCTCTTCCCCTCCTCTCCCCCTCCTCTTCCCCTCCTCTTCCCCTCCTCTCCCCCTCCTCTTCCCCTCCTCTCTCCCTCCTCTCCCCCTCCTCTCCCCCTCCTCTTCCCCTCCTCTTCCCCTCCTCTTCCCTTCTCCTCACCCGTCAATCTCTTCTTCCCCTCCTCTTCCCTTCTCTCTCACCGTCCTCTCAACCCCCCCCCCCCCCCTCTCACCCCGCCGTCCTGCACGCGCTTCCTCCGCAAGTGCCTGCATCCAGCTGTTTTCCCAACCTTCGTCTACCCTGTCTCTCTCCCCCCTCCTACCCCTCAGGGCGTAGAACCCCCCACCGCGCCAAACGTGTTTGCCTCGCGCGAGTACCAGGGAGGGAGACGAGGGCATGGGGGGAGACGAGGGCATGGGGGGAGACGAAGGCATGGGGAAAGACGAGGGCATGGGGGGAGACGAGGGCATGGGGGGAGACGAGGGCATGGGGGGAGACGAGGGCATGGGGGAAGACGAGGGCATGGGGGGAGACGAGGGGATGGGGGGAGACGAGGGCATGGGGGGAGTGGAGGGCATGGGGGGAGTGGAGGGCATGGGGGGAGTGGAGGGCATGGGGGGAGTGGAGGGTATGGGGGGAGTGGAGGGCATCGAGGGAAGGACGGCAACCTCTCTTCTCCCACCCTCCCACTCCCCCTTCCCTTCCTCCCGTCCCGCCCCCGACCCTACCTGCATGCTCCTTCGCTTCCTCCTACCTTACCCCTCCTCCCCCACCACAGGGCCTGGACCTTCCCACAGCGGGGGATGTGTTTGCATCTGGCGAGTACCAGGGCGACGAGGGCATCCTTCTCCTCTCCACTCCCTTATCCCCCTCTCTTTCCCCTCACGCCATGCCTTCTCCCCCCCTACCACAGGGCCTAGACCCCCCACGGTAGCAGATTTGTCTTTGCATCCCTCATGGCCTAGATCCGCCCACAGTGGCGGACGTGTTTGCGTCGGGCGAGTGCCAGGACGACGAGGGCATGGAGGGCGACGAGTGCATGTGCATCAAGGTGATGGCCAACCCGCTCGCGCTCATGTCCATGAGCACAGGAGGCGGCAACGTGGGCTGCTGCGGCTACTGGCTTGACCGCACCCTTTCCTCATCTCCTTCCCCTTCTCTCCCGTCCCGCCCCTTCTCTCCGCTCCACTCCCCCCTCCTCTCCCCTCCCTCCGTGCCTCTCCCCTCCATCCCACACTTCCTTTCCTCCGTCCTCCTTCCTCCTCCTTCCTCCTCCTTTCTCTCCCATCCCTCAGGGCCTAGACCCGCCCACGGTGGCGGACGTGTTTGCGTCGGGCGAGTACCAGGGGGACGAGGGCATGGAGGGCGACGAGTGCATGTGCATCAAGGTGATGGCCAACCCGCTCGCGCTCATGTCCATGAGCACAGGAGGCGGCAACGTGGGCGGGCGGCAGCAGGACGTGTGTGACGTGCTGGCGTACCAAGTGGAGGGCTTCTTCAGTAAAGCGTCGGGGCTGCTCATCGGGCTGCGCGACCATCATCTCACCAAGACCAAGGTAAGATGCTCTAGAGACGGGTGGGATGGGGAGTAGGGTGAGGGAATGGAGAAATAGGGGTGAGAAGGCAGCAGGACAGGGCGTGTGCGGCGTGCTGGCATACCAAGTCGAGGGTTTCTTTTGTAAAGCGTCGGGGCTGCTGATTGGTTTACGCGACCATCACCTGACCAAAACCCAGGTGAGATGAGACGCTTGAGACGCTCAAGAGAAGGGTGGGATGGGGAGAAGGGTGAGGTGAGGGAACGGGGGTACTTCTTTTGAGTCGACTCAAAAGAAGGGTGGGATGGGGAGAAGGGTGAGGTGAGGTGAGGGCTGATTGGGCTGCTGATTGGGCTGCTGATAACTATCGTGATTGATGTACATATTGCTGATTGGGATGCACAATCAATCACCATCTCACCAGGACCAAGGTGAGACGCAGCAGATAAGATGCACAAAAGAAGGGTGCGGGAACCGGGGGAAGATAGCAGCAGGTCGTCGTGTGCGACATGCAGGGGGTTACTTCGTCGCGCGCTCACCACTTTATTAAGCCTAAGGTAATGCAGGGGGATACTTAGCGAGGGAGCGGGCGAGGCTCTCTTGCGCAAGGACTTTGTGCTGACCAGAGCTCGTGGACGAATGTGCATTCATATAGAGCGCATATAGAGGCATTTCCCTTGGGCTTGACCATGACCTTGCCTGTACCTGTACCCGTACCCCTTCCCTCCCCCTTCCGCTGCGCAGACAGCGAGCAACAGCACCATCTACTGGGAGCGAGTGATGGTCACGCCGGTTGAGGACTTGCAGCCAATGGAGGGCGGCATGATCATCCCCCGCCGCGGTCGCGTGTGGGTGATTGCTCAGCTGACGAGCGCTCATAAACAAATCTGCATTTGTGCCCTTGCCTTTGCTCTTTGCGCATGCCTCTTACCCCCTCCTCCCTTTTCAGACGGCCAGCAACAGCACGATTTACTGGGAGCGGGTGATGGTCACCCGAGTGGAGGACTTTCAGCCCATCGAGGGTGGCATGATCATCCCCCGCCGCGGCCGCTCCGTGCTCTCTGTGGCGAAGCGGTGCGACGACGACACGTCGGGCACGATTCGCGCATGGGTGAGAGAAGAGTGGGAGGTGGGGTCGGTGGGGCAAGACGCGTCTGCCATGCAAGGGTTGCTAACGCGGCCGGCGGATCTGATTATGACAGCGAGCTCCGCGTCATTGCATAGAGGCTAATTACTAGCACGCCTTGTGTGATACGCACGTGGGTTGGGTGAGAGAAGAATGGGAGGTGGATTTGGGTGGGGAGGGCAAGATGCGGCTGTCGTCGACCGTAATGGAAGGGATGCTGCTTCGGCTGTGCAATAGGTTATGCATGGGCTACTAGCTCTGCCTGCACTATGACTGCAAGCTCTGCTCTGCTGCATAGAGGTTAATTATCGCCAAAGCGTTCTTTGCTTCTATTGGATGAATGTAAATGAAGGAAGAGGTGTGGCAGGAAGGGGGGGGGTGGGGGGAGGGGGAGGGAGGGAGAGGGGGTGGGGGGGGGGGGGAGATGGGGGAGGGGTGGGTGGGTGGTTTAGGATGAAGGCATGTCTTCCAATTTGATTCAGTTGTAATGCAGGGGATGGAATCGGCAAGAGGTGTAGCTGGTAGGAGCGAAAGACCTGCTAGTAGTAGTGCTACTAATTGCACTCAGAATGCTAGTGCAAGCCTTTTTAGTAGCCTAGGGCAAGACTTGCTCTTTTGGGGAGTTGGGAACATATGACGTGTAAGATTGTGCTCTAAGTTCCATGGAAAAGTCGTGAATTGTCGTTCTGGAGTACTCCCCTTTCTAGCGGAATATTCTGGCGAAGCACTCTCTGGACTGGGTGCACGCACACAAGTGCCACGGGTGCAGCACTGTCCCGCCAATGTCAGGGCAAGCCGAAACAACAGCAGGACGTTCGGAAACACTTGATCATTCCGCAACGCACGTGCCGTTTGCCAAGTCACCGTGTGACATGTGATCACAGTTTCTTGCCCAAATCAGGCGAGGGAAGCCCCAGGGCTTATTTTTCACGGGTAGCTGCCCGTTTTTTTTGCAAAATAACGGGTGATCTTTCATCCTATTCCGGATTCTGATGGGTTCGTTTTTAGCAGCACCCGTAACGTGCCGTGTTCGTTTTGCGATGTACCCTGATTTGACGGATGGGCCTCTGGAACGAACGGATCTTAGCTGTAGAAAAACCTACCTTCCCCCACCCCCCCCTCCCATCCACCCCTCCTTTTCCCCCGCGCCCCTCCCACCCCGCCTTCGCCACCTCCTTTTCCCGTCCAATAAACACGAAATTTTCTTATATTGGATGGCGGTTCATAAGAGTGAGAACAAAAGCATGAGTTTACATAAGTGAAGTCTGTGTGTTTCGTTCTTACAGAACATTTGAACTGGAACATATTCACGCTACGAAATCTCCCAGATCTGACTTGCTGTTTTTGATCCCAACTGGATTCTGACATGTGAATTTTATGGTACACTCGTGAGATCCGGGTTTTCCTTAATGAGTACCCGGATCTGCCGTGTGGGCAAAAACCCAAAGGTAAGCCCTGCTCTGCCCTGATTTCGAAGAGTTAACAGGAGGTGGTGTGTGTTTTTTGTACTTGATTGTTGGTGCTTCAGATTTTGAGTTGAGACCGCTTCTGTACTGTACAAGACCGTTGTTCTATACATTTTGTTTGCTCTATTTATCTACTCGGAACAGTCTAAATTACAATCCTATTTATCTGGTTCTCAGCATGACTCCCGTTGACACTGAACCTGATTGGCTGCAGTCTGAACGATAGCGAACAACCAAGACGTCTTCCACAATCGCGAGTTTCAGAGCTGGGACGTCGCGCGGGCAACTAATCTAGTGCATGAGCGAGATTTTGTAACCAAGTCGATTTTTCCCCTTCAAGCTCCCGTTTGCCCGTGTTTTATTATTTCCTGGTTACAGGCTCAGGCCGCGTGCAAAAACCGTAAAAACAAATAGAAACAGATGTGTTCCGTGGTGAGGTCTACTGTTAAAGGGTACAGTAAATGCCTTTTCCATTTCAAATCACAGCAAGTTGCCGTCTGTAGGTGCTTTCCTACAATCGACACGATTTCTCTCTGCTACCTCCCACCCTGTCACCTGCATCGTCAGCGTCTAATTGGTTGTCATTGGTCCACCTTGTACAGAATTTCCGGCCAGGTCAGCGTCGCACAAGGTGTGCCACGCCCCCATTTTTCTTGTTGAGGCTGAGCTGAGGCGGGGTGGTTGGGGTGTTGGTTGGTGGTGGTGAAGCACGTTCGGTCGAAGGTTGCAGTGCATTCTTGCTGGGGGTGGTGGGGGGGGGGGGGGGGGGGGGGGGGTTGGGGGAAGCAAATGCTGCCCATCCCCAAGGTTTCCAGATTCATTTCCAACAAATGTTGTTTGGTTTTATTTATTTATTTTTACTAACACCGCATTGAGTGCAGTGGTGGAACCCAAAAAAAACAAACGTTCCCGCAATTTACAAACGACAGCCACATCGGAGATGCTGGACTGAGGATGTGTCCAAAGTGCAATTCTGCCATCTGCTGCCATCCGATGAAAGAACGAATCGTAGCCGTTGTCATCCATCCGTACGGGAATCGACGGACGATATTCGTTCTGTCATCCGCTACCATCCGCTGCCATCTGTCTCCATCCCCTGCCATAACACTTTCGACACGCTCTAACTGCCGGAAGCAGATCGAGAACATGTTCCCCTCAATGAACATGGAACGAAGCCGTTTTTCAAGTATCCCTCCTTGAACATGGACCATCTCTTTCTCGCCATCCACTAATCTGCGGTGTATTCTGCTCTGTGAAGGCATTGATTTTCACCATTCGTGGAATCTGTTCTACTGGGTAATAACATTCCGTGGAAGGATGAGTATGGACCGATCCGGGCAGCCATAACAAATTCGCTGACGGGAGCTTCGAAACCTGGCTCCAAATGTCTGTACAATACAGTACACTCTTCCAGCGAACATTTTTTTGTCAATGACAGAGCCGCGCCAGAGAGTTCTGTATCGGTAATGGTGCTCTGGTAAGTAACCCCTGGCTTAACGAATTGTAGCGGAAAAGTCAACAGTTATAGTTGTAGGCTTGTGTTTTTGTTCTGGTGTAGGGTGTCCTGCATGCGGCTTCATGGCTTACATTTGCTGTTGTGTTTGTTGCATGTGTTTTTGTTGGGCAGGTTCCGCTGCTGTTACGAATGATCTGGACAGTAAGGCCATTCATTATAGTAGGGGAATACGGCTTTAGGGCATGTAATGGCAACTTAAAGTGTTCTGCTATGAAGTGTTCCTTGGAAGAGGTGTAGTGACCTCCCATCCAAACCGCCACGCGAGGGGCAGCGCAACACAGCAAGAAGGCTCACAGCCAGGACCAGGGTATATTTTTTACGGGTAAATAACGGGTGATTATTTTTCCAGAATCGGATTGCCACGTGTTCGAATTTTATGAACCCGGATTCTCATGGGTATTTGTTTACCAGAACCCGCGAAGTTACGTGTTAGATTTTGGTAAACAAGGATACTAGAACTTCTCACACCACCCCGCCCTCCGATTCCCCCCTCCATTCCCTCTCCCCAGGGAAAATCAGCTTAGCAACAAAGTTCCAGAGGTAGAATTATAAGAGCGGAGATGAGTTTTCTTACGTGGTTCCCTTCTATGGAACCCAGGAACTTTTTGTAAGAGCGTTTGTCAGCATTGAGAAACCCCTACCTGTATATCGACGAGTGGTATTTCACATACAACCGTTTAATACGGGTCCCACGAAAGAGATACCCGGATCTGCCGTGTGGACGAAAACCCTAAGGTAAGCCCTGGTCAGGACAGCCCAGTGCTGCTTTGTCTTGAGTGCAGCCCTCGGCTGGGGTAGCTGCCCCCGCAAGCTTTTGAACTGTTCTTTTCCACCAACCCGCTAGTCACGGGCATCTCCCTCGGTCCCCCACCCCGGTCTTGCAAGTCCCTCTCGTTCTCCCCACCTCACCAGACCCTCCCCCACACGCAACTGTCTGAGATACTTTTCCTCCATTCGCACGATCTCTGAACGGGAGAATGATGGCAAGCCAATGGTGGTGTGCTGTGTAGCCATAACTGGCGAATGGCGAGCGGTAACGGGGAGCCACTGCAATGATGGAAAATTCCCTTGAAGTTGCCGCCGAGAGAGGTTTACGGCGGCGACTATCATGGCTCGGTTGGACCACCATCTATCTCTGATAGATCATAGAAATCTGGCAGGTGCCAGCCTAGCCTGCCCTAGTGTAGTGGTGTTTGCTCCCCTGTGTGCAGGTTGTACTGTACTGTACAGGCTGTACAGTAAATATCCTTGCGCGGCGCGTCCTGCGCTCGTGGGAGGGTTGAGCACGAGACGACAAGCCATCGTTCTTGCTTCTCTGTCGCGCCCCGGGGCTCCACCCCTCCTCTCTTCCTCTCTTGCTCCCCCCCCACTCCCCCGGATATGCTCGTAGCCTTCTCCCTAGTACAGTTCTGTATTTCCCTTGGCAGTGTAATGAGAGTGCTCGCCCTGGCAATCAGTCCCTCCTGCAGTTCCACTTGTCAGCAGAATCCCCTTTTTTTATTATGGAATTGGAGAGAACTCTCAAGACGCATTCTTGAACTCCGTGCTCCAAGCAACAAAACACGCTCATTTCCTCACCGCATTGTGTTATCAGCAGTTCAGTCGTGCACAACAACAAGCGCTGTCTAGCTAGCAAAACAGGATCAGCGGCCATGGCTCTCCGTCTCAGCGACATCCATCCACCCACACCATCAAGCGCGGATAGCTTTAGCATCCGTCGCCGCGGCGTGACGCACAAAACGCCGCCGCATTTCCCCTCCGCCGCGGCGGCCGCTGACGGCCCTTCGGAAGGCTCTCACCGCCAATGTCACTACGCCGCTCTTGGTAGCGCAACGCTCGCAGCCCAACTCGGAGTCAAGAGCCATCGCGGCTCGCGGAAATGCAATGTCTCCGCGTTGGAAACTCCGCCTCTTACAAGCGTTCTCGGGAAGCGTTGCGCGGCGGCTCTCGCGGGGACTCAGAGCAGCGCAACGACGGACCTGGAGTTGCCGGAGTCGAAGCGACGAGATTGCGACAGATCCCTGCGACATATTCTGGAAGAGTCGTCTCCCCCGGCGGGGATGGACATGTTCGAGGAGCTTGGACGGATGAAATCGCTCCAGAAAACTACCGCTCAAAGCGGCTCCCGGCCGAGGTCGCCGCCTGCGACGTCACTTACCTCTTCCGCCGCTCTCCAACAAGCCGCTTCCGCCGCCGCCGCGTCCCAAGGCCGTTTGCTCCGATACAAGGCTCTGGCGGAATGCCCACCGGCGCGGAGTGCGGCGGCGGCTGCGGCGTCGTCATCGATGTCGCGGGGTATGGCGGCCCGGCACGCTGCTAAGGAATGTCCGACAACGATCTGCGGACTGCTTCGGAACATCAAGCAGAAGAAGCGCGCCGCCGTGTCATCGCCGCGGCCGTCCTACGTGGCCTCACCGCCGCAATACGTGGCGTCATCTCCACGTATCGTGACGTCATTCCACGACGGCCGTCACGTGAGCGCGACGACGCAGCGACATCCCGTGGCTATGGAAACCGACATCGCGGCGACCTTCAAGACCAACCTCTGCCCCGCTTTAAGTTGCGCGTCGGCGGCTTCTATCCGACGCGCCATTTCCCCTCGCGACGGCATTTCGGCGCCGCGACACGTCACAACCTCGCAATACGCATTTCCACCTGCCCAAGCTTGTGAAGCGGACGCACGGCTAATTCGAACGGCGGCGCGACATCAGGAGAAAGGGAACGACGGAAACATATGGGTTGATGAAATGGCGGCCTTTTCTTCAAACCCTCAACTGTTTTCGACAAACCCTAATCTCCTCCCACGCATTCCTGCTGCTTCACCGCCACCTTACGAAAATGCTCGTTTCTCTGCGACAGTTGCGATGGTACCGCACGAGGTTTCGCGCAGCCTACTTCTGCCAGCTCGACTTTCGGCAATGCCGCTGTCGCTCGCTCCGTTCTCGACAGCTCGGATTTCGCAGGCTCAACCTTCGCAAGTTCAACTTTCGCAAAATGAGGCTTCGCCAACTTTCGCGCTTGCTCCAGCAGCTGTTTCAGAAATCGCATCTGCGCCGAAGCCTTCCGCTGCGCCTGCCCCTCGACTAGTAGCGCCTACCGCCGCGTTCGTTGCTCCGCCCACCGCCGCGAGCTCAGCTGCAGCCCCTACTGCACCTCCGCGCAAGGGCGATGAGGATGTGGATAATATTCAGGGTAAATACCCTTGCGAAAAAACTACACTCAAGGGAAAAGAGCCATCATGGAATGATTTGGTGACACTTTTGGACCTGAATGAGGGCCAACTGATGGCTGAAAATGAAGGCGCTGACGCCAGCCAGACAGACGATGACGCCAGCACCAAGGAAATAAGCAGCAGTCATCTTAGTTGCTATGGTAGCAGCCAAGCTGACACGAGTGTGGAGGATGGGGATGTCAATAACGAGGATGGCGTGAACGGGCATTTCAGCTTGGAGCTGCTTGGTGGGCTGTTTGCAATGGAGGAGGGGACTAAAGAGAAGGCAATGCAGGACACAGGGTTAGACGGGATATGCATGGAGATTCAGATGGAGGGTCAGATGGAGGGTCAGATGGAGGCACTAATGACCCACGGCAACAACGGCGACAATGACAACACAGCACCACCCATCACCACCCCTAATGCCGCCTCCTCCGTTCCACGTCCCCATGCTTCTCCCTCTGCCTTTGTTGACAACGCACCAGCCACATGTGCCACGTCAGCGTCCATCTTTCTCCCCACTCCCATGGAACCCACTGCCCCCAACCGCCATCTGGTTATACGGCTACCACATCTGGTGCTCCCACCCCCTGGCCCTGGAAGCAGCAACAATGATTGGAGTGATGATTGCAACGACGACACCAGTGATGCTGCTGATGCTGCTGATGCTGGTGATGCTGCTGCTGGTGGTGATGCTTCTCCTTCCCCCCATGCCTCCGCACACTCCCCCGGCCTCCCAAGCACACCGCCACGGCAAGACACAGGGTTCCCTTCCAGCGGGACGGACTCCGAAGAGCAGTGGCGGATAGCAGCACAAGGGGAGACCTGGCCGCAAGGGCAAGCACGGCCACAGGTGGATGCGCCGTCGCTAAGGCAGAGCGGTGCAGCACTCATGCCGCCTGCAGGTGCTGGTGGTGGTGGTGGTGGTGGTGGTGACTGCTACTCCATTCCTGTGAAGGAGGAAGATGCAGAGGCGTTTCCCGATGCCTCTTTTGGTTTAAAAAAACACGAGGATGCAGATGAAAACGCCAAGTGGGAGAGCTCTACAAGCAAGTGCACGGACAGGGGCATGAGCCTGGGGATGAGCAGCAGAAACACCGACAGTTACGGGCAGTCACCACGCGGGTGTGGAGGAGGGATTCCAGCTGATGGCGCTTCAAAGAAGAACAAAAGGTGAGATGAGAATGAGACGAGCGTGCTTGCTCCCTGTGCTGAGATGTGCACATTTTTTCCCACAATTTGTACGCCCTGAGACAATCCAGCCATGCCTGCATACACCTTGCTTCCACCCTCCCTTCTTACGACATGAGGCAGTTGTGGTCAGAACAGCCTTCCCATGGTTACCACCCCATGGCTACCACCTCACCTCACCCTCGTACCACTTGCACTGTTCCTTCCGCCTCGTGTGTGCAGGCGGGAATCCAATAGAGCATCGGCCAAGCGCATCCGAATGAGGCAGCAGGAGCACCTGCAGAAGCTGGAAGTCGAGGTAATTGACCATCCCCCCCCCCTCCCCCCTTTTCCCCCTCCCACACGCTATGAGCTCACTTTGAGTCAACTCAAACGTCAGCTCTGTAGGAGCACCTGCAGAAGGTGGAACTTGAGGTAATCTCTCCCCTTCCCCTATGAGCTGACTTGAGTCGACCCAAAAGTCAGCTCACATGAGGTAGAGGTAGTTTAAACCCCTTAAAAAAACCCTGTAAAAACCCCACGCAACAACCCTGCTCTTACATTGAAGGCGTGTATGCAATGACTTCAGAGAGAAGTCTCTCTTAGGCTGCTCTAAGCACTCACAAATACAGGTGTCTGGAGACTTCTCAAATCACACCTGCTGCTCTAAGCACCTGAAAATTGCCACTGGAGCATACCGGCCTCCTCAAAGCCCATGTTAGGAGCACCACCCTCACTCCATCCTAATTCACTCCTTGTGCAATTCATTTCCCCTCCCTCCCTCCCTCCCTCTACATCCCAACCCAGACGCGTGATTTAGCGGCAGTCTGCAGGTCACTGGGAGCACAGCTGGCAGCGGCAAGCAGAAAGATGGAGGCATTGAAGGAGCAAAACGAGGCCATGGTCGGGGAGAAGCACAGGCTGCTGAGACTGCTGAGGGGAGAAGCAGCAGTTTGAGCCGTCTCAAAATGAACAAGGCGCTGCAAGCACAGCTGGCAGAGGCAAGTAGAGGGGTGGGGGTTATGAGAGAGCGGGGATCGAGGGTCTGGTGGGGAGAGGCAAAAGCTGCTGAGACTGCCCGCGGAAGGGGAAGCAGTTTGAGGCTTTTGATACTCTAGGCAAGGCGTTGCGAGCACAGCTGGCAGAGGCGAGCAGAGAGGCAGGGGTTCTGAGGGAACAGAACAAGGATCTGGTAAGGGAGAAGCAACGACCGACCGCTGAGACTGTTGAGTTGTGAAGAAGCAATTTGGGACTTATAAGAATAAGGGGCTGCGAGCACAGCTGGCAGAGGCGAGCAGAGAGGCAGGGGTTCTGAGGGAACAGAACAAGGATCTGGTAAGGGAGAAGCAACGACCGCCCGCTGAGACTGTTGAGTTGTGAAGAAGCAATTTGGGACTTATAAGAATAAGGGGCTGCGAGCACAGCTGGCAGAGGCGAGCAGAGAGAAGGACATTTGGAAGGAGTGGGAGGGGGGTTCTGGGAGGGGAGAAGAGAAGCCAAGAGTGCTGCTGCTGCTGCTGCTGGGCGACAAGGCAGCAGTTTGAGATTTGAAGGATAAGCAAGGCAGGAGCTGAGAGCAAAGCTGGCAGAGGAGGCAAGCAGAGAGGTGGGGGTTCTGCGGGAGCGGAACGAATGCTCCTCCCACCAGCACACCAGAGCCGTGGGGTTTCTGTTCTGAGGGAGCGGAACGAGGCTCTCTGGTAAAGGAGAGGCAACGACTGCTGAGACTGCTGAAACTGCTCGTGGAAGGGGCAGCAGTTTGGGCGGAAGGGGCAACAGTTTGAGCGGAAGGAGAAGCAGCGGAGAAGAACGGAAGCACAGGGCAGCAGCAGCTGCTGGGACTCAGTGGGAAGGAAGGAGAGGCACAAGGAGAGTGCCAAGGGAGGGAGGGAGGGAGAAGAAGGGGCTGCATGGATTCCCTGGGAGGTTTTATTCAGGCACTTAAGCGATGAGGTGCTCCTGGTAACAGTGACAGAAGAGCACTACAGTAGTGCTACGATGATTTTGCTTGGTTTTCCAATGAGTGACTAGTGCTAGAGCAGGTTAGGGCAGTGATCGGGCAGTGATAAGCAGTGCTAGAGCAATGCTCGAGCCCTGATAGGTTGCTCCCCGTGCTGGGGAGAAGATTCCAGGCCAGGTTAGTTGATGACACAAGCTGACCTTCGGGAGAGAGCTACTGGTCTAAGATGGTAGCCGTTGGGAAATAAAGCTGTGTGTGGGTAGAGGAGGATACACCCTGGAGGTTGCTCCCCGTGCTGGGGAGAAGATTCCAGACCAGGCTATAGTGGCCTTGACGACGAGCTGAGATGGTAGCTGTTGGGAAATAAAGCTGTGCGTGGGTTGAGAATACACTAGTGGTTGTGTACAGTTTTTCTAAATGGTGTGGGGCTTTTTGGCTTTTTCTGAATGGTGAGTAGACTCAAAATACATTTGGCAACTGCACAGTATCATGTGGGAATGTAGGTAGGTACACGTTCCACCTCACAAATACTGGTACACGTAGCCGGCCACACCACATACATATATAAAGTGGAACAGGAGACCACAGGAAACAGAACGCACTAGTGGTTGTGTTTTCCTGTTGGTGTGGAATACGCAACTAGTTCCCTTCACCCTAGCCACTGCACTTTTCCCCTTCACCCCTGCTTCCCCCCTTGCACTTTTCCCTTGTGAGGCGCCTTAAAACTTCCCCCCTTGCACTTTTCCCTCAGCCCTCTCATTTCCCCCCCCCAACCCTCTACCCTTCCCCCCTCCCCTGTAGCCCCTCACCCCTTCGCTTCCCATAATCTCGCACCCCTTTCGCTGCTGTACCTTGTTGCACCTGCTGTTATTGAGCCGCCTCAAAATCCTCTTTCACCGTTCTACATTGTCTCCCATCCAAGGTTGCTGCCTCCGAAATGACTTTTGAATTGACGAAAAAACTTGCCATAATCTCGCACCCTCTCCACTGCGGTACCTTATCGCACCTGCTGCTCTTGAGCCGCCTCAAAAGCCCCTTCACTGCCGCATCTTGTGGCACCCAAGGTGATAGGAGGTGCCTCAAAACTAGACCCCCTTCCCTGCTGCACCTTGTGGCACCCGAGGTGATAGGAGTCTAGTTTGAGGCGCCTCAAAACTATTTCGACATACCATTTCGACATGCCATTTCGACATGCCATTTCGACATACCATTTCGACATGCCATTTCGACATACCATTTCGACATACCATTTCGACATACCATTTCGACATGCCATTTCGACATGCCATTTCGACATGCCATTTCGACATGCCATTTCGAATCCCCGCAAATCTCTCATAAAAGCCCTTTCACGGCTCCACCTTGCTTCATCAGCGGTTGCCACCTCCTCGCTCCCCTTGTATCACCGCCCCTTCCCCGCTCGCCCTGCTCCCCCCTCGCCCCGTTGATGCCTCTGCTCTCCACCGTCTCACAGCCGTCTCCCAGCCTTTTCCCAGCCCTACCTTGTCTCTCATCCGAGGTCACTGCCTCCGCCTCGCTCCCATTCTGTCACCGCCCCTTCCCTGCTCGCCCTGCTCCTCCCGCGCCTCCTATGCTTGCCGCACCTTTTCCTCCTGCGCTTCCTCCCTTAGCCCCTCCACCTCCTGTTCCCCCGGCTGTGCCCCCCCCTTGAGCGGCCTCCAGCTTTCGGATTCTTGCCTTCTTCGCGTTCAGCACTGCCAGGAACTGCAGGGGAGGTGAGGGGGGAGGGGAGAGGGGGAGGGGGTGGGGGTGGGGATATGGGCATGGAAACAAAGTGTGTCATGGCGCGCGCTTCTTTGCTCCTTGTGCTGCGCCTTGTGTGTCATGGGGTGCGCTTCTTTGCTCCTTGTACTGTGCCTCATGGAGCCCCCCCCCTCCCCCTTGAGCGGCCTCTCATCCTTGCCTTCTTGGCGTTGAGGACTGCCCTGAACTGGAGGAAGGGTAGAGTACACATGGAGGGCATGGAGGGCATGGAGGGCATGGAGGACATGGAGGGCATGGAGGACATGGAGGACATGTGCCGCTCCGGTTATAAGCACAAGAGGAGGCTGGCTGCTACGCTGCTAAGCACAACCTGCACCATATCACACAGCACACCCACCATGCACACCCGCCATGCACCATGCACAGCACCACACCTTCCCCAGCAGCTCGTCCTCCAGTCTGCCCTTCTCCTCCTTGAACCTGTCGCTCTGCTGCAAGCACTGCACGCACCTCGCTGCACCAGTAATTGCATGCACAGCAGCACAGCAGCACACCACAGATCACACCTTCCCCAGCAGCTCGTCCTCTAGTCTGCCCTTCTCCTCCTTGAACCGATCGCTCTGCTGCAAGCACTTGTCCGCCTCTCGCAGCAGCCTCTCACACGCCTCCCTGCTGCGCTGCTGCTCTGCCTGTGAGTGGTACGGAAGAGGGGAGGGAGGAATTTAAAGGTTCACTCAAGAACCCCAAAAAGCCTCGCAGCAGCCTCTCACACGCCTCCCTGCTGCGCTGCTGCTCTGCCTGCGCGTGGCAAGGAGAGGGAGGCGGGGGGGAACGGGGTGAGGGGGGGAGCGAGAGGGAGGGATAGAGGGGGGGACAAGGGGGGGACAGGTGGGGGGACAGGTGGGGGGACACGGGGGGGACAGGGGGGGGACGGGGGGGGGGGGGACAGGGGGTGGGAGAGGGGGGTGGACAGGAGGGGGATGGGGGGGAGGACGGGGGGGAGGACTGTATAAGATGACTCATAAATCCCAACGAGCTCTCGCTGCCCCTGCTGTGCTGCTGCTCTGCCTGTGTGTGGTATGGTACGAGGGGGGGGAGGAGGACTTGCTGCATCCTCTCACACGCCTCCCTGCTGCGCTGTTGCTCTGCCTGTGTGTGGTACGGGAAGGGAGGCGGGGGAGGAAGGGAGGGCTTTATAAGTTGACTCATAAACCCCAAAAAGCCTTGCTGCATCCTCTCACACGCGTCCCTGCTGAGCTGCTGCTCAGTGTGCGGGAGGGGAGGAGGGGTTGGGGAGGGGGGAGTTGAGGGGAGGGGTAAAAGGGGGAATGGAGGTGTGACCAACGATGCCATGCACCCCTATGACTCACCTGACCAACAATGCCATGCACCCCACAACTCGCCTGAGCAGCAGCCGCCACTGTCAGCGCTCTATCCAGAATCCCCGCAACTGCCGCTCTCTGCTGCTCCTCCCCCTCCACGGCCCTGAATTCGAGGGTCGCTCTCAGCTCCAGATCCGAGCGGCGCACTGGCCAGGAGAGCTGAGAGGGAGGAGGGGAGCACAGCACGGGAGGAAGAGGCAGAGGGGAAGGGACGAATTGATGCTCCTCCCCCTCCATGGCCCTCAATTCGAGGGTCGCCCTCAGCTCCAGATCGGAACGGTGCACTGGCCAAGTGAGCCGGGGGGGGGGGGGGGGGTTTGGGGTGGGGAGATGGGAGAGGAGAGCGAGGGGGGAAAGTGGAACCGGATGCGCATGGCTGGACTGCCCTCAAATCCACACTCGCCCTCAGATTCAGCCCTGACAGGTGCCCTGGCCAGGCCAGGCGAGGTCACGGGGGGAGATGCGGAGACGGAGAACGAGGGGAGGGGACGCATGGGATGGAACGCCGATGAACTGCTGGGATGGGATTCGATTCTCAACTCAACTCACACTCTCTCGCTGCTCATACCTCCGCTGCTGTGGAGTCCACACTCCCTCGCTCGCTCCCAGCTCCGGATGTGAGAGGTGTGGCTTTGACACATGGCAAGTCACCATGCGGAAGACAAGTTGATCTATTTTGGAGCTAGAAGTAGCATAGCAGCACCTGAATAGCTTGCACATGCTGTCCATTTGACATGTGACTCACTCCCTCAGCGAGGATGAGAAAAGTGCCATTGGTCTTGCACTTGGAAAACTGCATATGAGGCTGCAATAACAGATTATATGATGTTCTGTGAGTGTACCCTAAGAGAAAGCTTCCCATGACTGGTTCCAAATGTGAATGAACTGCATGGGCGAGCTCCTCCACTGCACTGCAGCTATGTTTCTTCTGGTCCCAAACCAAATCAACTTCTTATAGGTTGCACCTCACGAAGCCATTCGCATAGTGATTTGCCATGTCGCATTCTTAACCACACAACAGTACACGTCAAGAGGCAGGGTACGGGTGTAGCCTGTCCTCACCGTTGTGTTTTTCATCAGAATTCGGTTCGTTTGAGACCACAGGAGGAATGGACGCGGCCAAGGAACAGGGGGAGAGGCGGGGCGGGGGGGACAAAAGGAAGGAGAAAAGATGACGCCGCCGACAGGACAGGACGACGAGGAAGTCGGGGGCGAAGGGGTGGAAGGGCAGGGGAGGGAGGGGAGGGAGAAGTGCTAAGCTCAAAGACAACCCCAAAGCCATCCAATTTACTTCGTCACCCAATCACAGCCAGCTACCCAGTCAGAGACAGCTACCCAGTCAGAGACAGCTACCCAGTCAGAGACAGCTACCCAATCACAGCCAGCTACCCAGTCGCGTGGAGGTACCCAATCGCATACAGCTGTCCATATCCATCCAATCGACTCAGCCATTCAATCAGCTACAGACAGGCATTGAGAACATCCAATACTGACCTGCCACGTGGCAGGCTGATCCTGATTGGCTCTGGCCCTCTTGCTGCGCCGGCCCCAAGTAATGCGGAGAGCCGAGGGCGGCTGGAGAGGAAGGGATGCGAGAAGAGGGCAAGAGAATATGTTTTTTTAGGCCCCACAAACAAATCTCAAGTGAAGCGAAGAGATGAGAAGGGGTGGGGGAGAGAGGGGGGGGGGGTGGACGGTGGATGGATGGGAAGGTGCGGATGTTGTGGAGCCTGAAAGCGAACCTCCAAGTGAAGGAAATGAAGGAGGGGGGGTTGGGATGGATTGGGCAGCAAGGGGATTCATAGTGGGGTTTAGCGGGACCGAAGCGAATGACGACGGCAGGTGGGAATGGGGATGTGTGGCATGAACAGGGATGGAATATGGAAGGGGAAGGAGCAAAGTTGAGCGGAAACGGGTGTATTTCGAGCGCTCGTTTGGCACAGCCCATGTATGGCACAGCCCATGTATGGCACACCCCATGTATGGCACACCCCATGTATGGCACACCCCATGTATGTGTTCAGAGCACGTCTCTGTTGCATTCACCTGTCTTAAAACCGCTTGGAGCACGTCTCTGTTGTATTCACCTGGCGTCTGAAACCCCCACGCCTCCGCCTTCTCCCCCATCCTCTCCTCCTCCACTGCCCAGCCAGGGGGAGGCAGGGCGCGTGCGGGGGGCCGGGGGGGGAACGGGGAGGGGAAATGGGGCAGGGGGGAGAGGGGGGGAGGGTGGCAGGGCGCAAGAGAGGGATGCAACAGGGGGGGAAGGGGAGGGGGAACGGCCAAACAAGCGGGTTAGGGAGAGACATACAGCCCATACAGCCCATACAGCCCACTCAACGACTCGCATGCACACTCAGCCACTCACTCACCGCAGCACGTCCAGGCAGTGCGGCCGTCGCTGGCAGTGAGCTCGCACTCCGCCTCGCCCCACCGCGACAGCACATAGAGCCCGCTCGACTCGCTGTCCGCCGTCAATTGCAGCCGCGCGCACCACGTGTCACTATCATCGGCAGCATCGCCCTCCGCCCCTGGCCTGGCGCCATCGCCCCGAACGGCGAGCATCGCGCAGGTGAGAGGAGACGGCGGCGAAAAGGACAAACGGGCGAGATTTTGTCGGCGCTAAGCGAGGTCTGAGGCGTCTTGAAACGCGGATGCGTGGCAAGTTCGCAGCTGCGACGAAGCTCAGCTCGATGACTGGCGTATTTAATTGGTCAGCATATGGCTAGTCCAGCAGACGTTGGAAGGTAAGGTGCTAGTGCAGAATGCTCTCACAGTTTACTCATAGTCACAAGAAGACTATGCGAATGTCTCATCAGTTTAGTAACAGATACTCGCATTGTGGGTTCCAATGCACAGGAGTCGAGCCCGAGAAACTAAGGGACGGATTTGGTGAACAGCACTCCCAGCGTTGGCTATCTATGTGAGTAGTTTTAGGGGTCTTAATGCACAAGCAAGGTCTGAAATTGAATGGAGCTGGGGCCTGTTCCATGGTACAGTGTATTACACAAGGGCCAGCTTCCAAACTGGTAACTTTGATTCGTCGCTAGCAACATCGCATCGCCACGGTCAATTATTGCCTCTTGTGTTACCAGCTCAGCTCGAGATTTGAAGCTTCGCCTTGTCACTAACCGGGGCCTTGTTCGTCATCGCCAGAGGCAGACACTAACCCACGGTGACTCCAATAAAAACTCCCTGTCAGTAGTTAGGACCTTTCTTTACTGCCTCGCAGATTAGTACCAGTGATCTACTGTATCGCTCTCTCGCATCGCGTAGCTGTGGCGTCGCACTTCAATCTCGGCAATCTAGGGCACTTGGGCACCGCGTCGCGGGCAGTGAACCCCTCACGGTGCCTCGTAGCGCTCGAAACGCTCCTCGGCCGAGACGAGTCAGTTTCGACTCTCGTCCTAGTGGAGTTCCCGTTCCCAATCGTAAACCCTCCGGAGTAGCGGCGACAGGTAGTGCTGACGTCAGATAATGCGGACGTTAGGTAGTTCTGACGTCAGGTTGTGCTTCTGACCAGCACCGCGTCGTCCGTCGGTCGATTCGAATCTCAGTAGGATAACTGTCTCTGCGAATCTCCGAGCTTTCCTCCATCTTTCGTCAATCTTTCGTTGGCTTTCGTCCATCAGTCGTTCTCATCTCAGCCGCAGCCGGTGGCCGAGAGACACCGCGGAGCGACGGGAACAGCTGAGCGGCGAGGGATCAGAAACGATATTCGAAGCAGGAGAACCTCGGGGATTGCTTTCAAGCCTTTCTTAGACGACTCCGAAGCACGAGATTTTCTGACTGGCTGGGGATCTCTCAACTTTCAGCGTCACGAATCGCACGAACCGCCATAATCGCGTCAAGAGCTGCTGGGTGGCAGAAGGGAGGAGGGAATCCATACCAATCGGAGTGGGGGAACTTTTGAGGCACCACAAAGGCGGAGGGCGGGGGATTCGAGCCGCGATGGGGGAGATGGGGGAGGGTGGGGAGAGGTGGCGTGAGGCGGCGGGGGAAAGGGAGAGCGGAGGGGCAGCGGACGGGGAGGGGAGTTGTAGCAGGGGAAGCGGAGTGAAGTTTCCTGCGCGGTCAAGACAGTTCAGCGCGGATATTGAAGTGCGTTTGCACATGCACACATGCACACATGCACACTTGTGCATGAGCATGCACAGGAGAGTATGGTGTCGCACTCATGCACACGTGCACACATGTGCATGAGTATGTTGTCCATGGCGCATATAGTTGCACGGATGCACATGGGCAGAAGCGGCACAGCATTTCTTGTGCGGTCGAGGCAGCTCAGCTCGGACACAGAGATGCGCGGCACCATGAGCGCACTCCCACCATCAGCGCACTCTCACCATGAGCGCACTCCCACCATTAGCGCACTCTCACCATGAGCGCACTCCCACCATCAGCGCACTCTCACCATGAGCGCACTCCCACCATCAGCGCACTCCCCCCATCAGCGCACTCCCACCATGAGCGCACTCCCACCATGAGCGCACTCCCACCATGAGCGCACTCCCACCATGAGCGCACTCCCACCATCAGCGCACTCCCACCATGAGCGCACTCCCACCATGAGCGCACTCCCACCATGAGCGCACTCCCACCATGAGCGCACTCCCACCATCAGCGCACTCCCCCCATCAGCGCCGTAAGCCCCTTCAGACCCAATTCCCCAAAACCCTCCAAACCTCTCTCAGACAGACCCACCTCCCCCTCCCCCCCTCCACCACGACTTTCCTCCGTCCCTCGCTCCTCGTCCTGGCGTGCCCACCACCGTCCTCTGCCTCTCATATGCCGGCACTCTTGTACATTCCACCCCTTTCCAACCCCCCGTCTGCCTCTCATGCCCTCTGCTTGTCTCATGCCCTCTGCTTGTCTCATATCCTCTGCTTTCCCCCTCTTCCCTTCCCCCCGTCTCCCCCTCCCCCCACTCCTCTCCCTTCAGGGCGTGCCCACCACCGTCCTCTGCCTCTCACACGACAACAGGCTTGCTCTGAGACGCCCCAAGGAATAAGTATCGCCCCCTCAAGAGTTCTGTCCACCTCCCAACCCCCCCGAAATCCTCCCAACCCCTCCCTTCAGGGCGTGCCCACCACCTTCCTCTGCCTCTCATACGACGACAGGCTCATGGTGACGTCACCTCACCACCCTGCTTCACCTGACAATAGACGCACACCAGGCTGCCGCCCGCCTGCCGTCCGCATGCCGCCCACCTGCCGTCCGCATGCCGCCTGCCTGCCACCTGCCTGCTGCTTGTCTGCTGCCTGCACCATCATTGGCTTGTAGAGTAGAGAAGCTCGTTTGCCAGTTGGCGCGGCAAGCTGAGCTTGCATTCTATGACTTCCTCCTTGCCTCATCATTCTCTCCCTAGTCTCGCTTGCCATCTATTACTGCATCGTTTACCACATACAACTCTATCCCCTCTCTTCTCTGTCTATTCCTGATTCCTGATTCCCTCTCTTCTCTGTCTATTCCTGATTCCCTCTCTTCTCTGTCTATTCCTGATTCCCTCTCTTCTCTGTCTATTCCTGATTCCCTCTCTTCTCTGTCTATTCCTGATTCCCTCTCTTCTCTGTCTATTCCTGATTCCCTCTCTTCTCTGTCTATTCCTGATTCCCTCTCTTCTCTGTCTATTCCTGATTCCCTCTCTTCTCTGTCTATTCCTGATTCCCTCTCTTCTCTGTCTATTCCTGATTCCCTCTCTTCTCTGTCTATTCCTGATTCCCTCTCTTCTCTGTCTATTCCTGATTCCCTCTCTTCTCTGTCTATTCCTGATTCCCTCTCTTCTCTGTCTATTCCTGATTCCCTCTCTTCTCTGTCTATTCCTGATTCCCTCTCTTCTCTGTCTATTCCTGATTCCCTCTCTTCTCTGTCTATTCCTGATTCCCCCTCTCTCCTTCCCCTCCATCCCCCTTTCCTTCCCTTTCCTTCCCTTCCCCTCCCTTTTCCCGACCCCCAGATATGATTGCATCGCTTCCACCACTTTCGTGTCGTTTCTTTCCAAACTTCCTTCCCTTTCCTCCTGCTCTGACGTTTGACTTCCTTGATAGTAGTCCCCTCCCTTCCCTTCCCTCTCCTCCCCTCTTCCCCCTCTGCCATCTCTCCCCTCCCCCCCGATTTTCAGGTGGTTGTGACACAAATAGGCACACTCGGCACCATGCTGTATGCAAGGTGACTAAAACGAGAGCAGCATCATGCTACATGCCCTGTGACTATTACGAGATTACCATCACGCAGTATGAAACTTCAGGCTTCCGAACAACAGGAACCACTTTCCAGTGTGACTGTAGACCGGTGGTTCTTGCAACAAAAACAAAAATTTCCCCCGCTTCCTTCCCCTCCCCTCCCACCCCTTTCACCTCACTCCCTCCTCGTAAAGTTCTAGGCCCTAAGGAAAGTGGGAAGGAGTAAGGGAGGGGCAGGGTAAACACGCTTCTCGGCTGCATCCCCCCTTTCCCCCTTCCACCATTCGCTTTGATTTTTGAGTCGACTCAAAAAACATCCCCCTTTCCCCCTTCCACCATTCGCTTTGATTTTTGAGTCGACTCAAAAAACATCCCCCTTTCCCCCTTCCACCATTCGCTTTTTCCAGGCGGGAGCAAGTGGGGGGGGCGGAAGGGAGGGGGCAGATGGGAGGGATGGAAGGGAGCTCAGTGTTCAATGTGTCGGTGCTGCTGGGGAAGAGAGACGAGGTGAGATGGGTGCCATGGGTGGCATGGGTGGCATGGGTGCCATGGGTGGGATGGGTGGGATGCGGTGATGTGCAACGTGTGCAGGAGGCAGGTCGCAGATGGGAGCGCAGCTGTGTTGGTGCTGCTGGCGAGAGGAGCGACGAGGTAACATGGGTGCAATGATGTGCATGGCGTGCAGGGGTCAGATGGCAGCGGATTTAAGGAAGCTCAGTGTTCTGTGTGTTGGTGCTGCTGGGGAGGAGGGATGAGGTGAGTACTGAGTCCGACCTAGCGGTTCCCACGCCAGGCAGGAGCAGGTGGGAGGGACAGAAGGGAGGGGGAATATGGGAGGGACGGATGAGAGTCGGGTTTTCAATATGTTGGTGCTACTGGGGAGGAGAGACGAGGTGAGATAGGGTGACATCCAATGGGGTGCGAGTAGGTGCAATGAAGTGCGGCGGTTCAGCTGGGTGTTTGCGATGGAAAGGAGCTTAGGTGTTGATGTGGCGGTGCTGCTGCTGGCGAGAGGAGGGACGAGGTAAGATAGGTGAGATGCGGTGAGATGAGGTGAGATGCGGTGAGATGCGGTGAGATGAGAGAACGCAAGATGAGGTGAGATGGGTCAGGTGGGGTGACATGGGGTGGCATGGGGTTGCATGGGGTGGCATGGGGTGGCATGGGGTGGCATGGGGTGGCATGGGGTGGCATGGGGTGGCATGGGGTGGCATGGGGTGGCATGGGGTGAGGGGGGGTTAACATACAGGGATACACGGTGGGGTCAGGACTCAGGTGGAGGGTGCACAAGGGAATGTGAAGGTGGTGTTTTCAATCAACATGTGTTTCTCCTCTCTCTCTCTCTCTCTCTCTCTCTCTCTCTCTCTCTCTCTCTCTCTCTCTCTCTCTCTCTCTCTCTCTCTCTCTCTCTCTCTCTCTCTCTCTCTCTCTCTCTCTCCGTGTTTGTGCATGCAGCCGCTTATGGCAGCGTGTGCGAGACAGCTCATAGAAACACTCAGGTGGGTCTCTTTTCCACCACTTTCCCCCCCACTCTATCCATACCCAACCGCCCTTCCCTTCCCCCCCTCCATCTTTCTTTCTCCCTTGCTCCAACTTGTCCTCTGTCTCTCTGTGGGGCATAAACTTTCCTAGAGAGACAGAGGACATGTGAGATCAAGGATGTGGGGCATGATCTTTCCTCATCCTAAAACGCCACAGACAGACAGACAGACAGACGGACGGACGGACGGACGGACGGACGGACGGACGGACGGACGGACGGACGGACGGACGGACGGGCAGACAGACAGACAGGCACGGCCCACTTGCTTTCGTTCCCCATTTTCCAGAAGTGCATTTTGAGTCGACTCGATACACACTCGGACTGTTGCCTTGCCCTCCCTCCCCCCCATCCCTCACACCTCTCCATCCACCCTGCCGCTCCCCCCCCCCCCCTCCTGCTGCCCCCACTCTGCCTTGCTTCCTTCTGTGTTACTCCCTCGCCATCTCCCTCCCTCCTCTCAGCCTGCAGGGAGTGACCCGCCCGCTGCTGCTGTGCCTGGGACTCAAAGACCACTCGCAGGTGAGTCAGGGTATTGGGGTGTTGGAGGAAGGATGAGAGAAGGGTGGTCCAAGCACTTGTCTCCCTCCCTCCCTCCTCTCAGCCAGGTTGGAGTGCCCTGCCCGCTGCTGCTGTGTCTGGGACTTGAGGACCACTTGCAAGTGGGTGGGGAAAGGGGAGTGAGGGGAGAGAGGGGAGAAAGGGGAGAAAGGGGACAAGAAGGGTAGGGAAGGGGGGATGTTGCGAGTTGACTCAAGTGCGGATGCTGCTGCTCGTGGGGTTCAAGCTCTGTTCGTAGTTGGGTGATTGGGCGCAGCAGCATCCGCGCTTGAGTCAACTCGCATTTTGCCAGCTGCTGCATGTGGGGCTAGTTCGTAGGTGGCTGGTTGGGTGCCTGTGCGAGAACGCCGGGAAGTGGTGGGAGGGTTCTTTAGAATTCTCAACAACGTAACACAAGTGCGGATGCTGCTGCACGTGGGGTTAAAGCTCTGTTCGTAGGTGGGTGATTGGGTGCCCGTGCGAGAAGGGGGGGGGAGGGAGGGGAGGTGTGAGGGGGAGGATACTGTGCTGATGCTGCTGCACCTGGGGCGCCAAGGTGGGTGATTGGGTGCCCGTGCGAGACGGGGGAGGGGGGGGGGGGGGGGGGGGGTGGGAGGATTGGGGTGTGGCAGGGGAAGGGAGGATCAAGGGCTAGTGCTGCTGGGCCTGGATCTGAAGGACTATTTGCAGGTGGTGGAGAGAGGAGGGGGGAGGGAGGGGGGTGGGGGGAATGAGGGATTGAGGGGGGGGCAAGGAAGCATGTGCAGATTAGAGAGGGTGTGTGTGAATGCGTGCATGCATGCCACCTGTGCTACAAACAATGCGTTCAGTTGCAGTACGGATTCTTGTGTAATACGGTTCATGCTATTTTCTCACTGTCCTTCACGATCTTTTCTTTTGCCATTCCTCACTCCCCCTTCCACTCTTTACTTGTGTCCTTGCTTCAGAAAACGCTGAAAGCCATTCTCCAGTGCGTGGTTAGCTCTCGATTATGGGCTCAACCTAGCTCAGCATAATAAGCGATTGCAGACACAAGTGGGCACATTAGTTGTCAAACATATGTGTGTATGTTTAGTAGACTACATCGGGTCATGCCATAAAGAGTACAACCCATTAGCTATATACCCCTGTATACTCTCATTCTACTTCATAATTCTAACTCTGAGATGGTCTCATGAGTAAGTTAGGTCCCCCCCGCCCACCTGCGCTTCCGCCTTAGGTCCTAGCCTGCCCCGTCTCTTAAAGCCCGTGGCTAAAATAGCAGACCCTGATGCCACTTGAATTTTGAGGTGCTGAATATTGGTTAAGTATAGAAACATCCAAACTCTGTTTCCGAACAAGAGCGTTCCATTTCGTGCTTGGAAACAAAATGAAAAACACTCAAAGCTTTTGATTGGTCCAGAGCGAAAATGAACAACCATGCTGTGCGTTACGACACGGTGATTTTTGTGCGAAACGCAAGTGACAATGTGCGGATCGCCTACACCCATGCGACGTGCACTCGGCGATTTTAGGGGAGGGGAGCGAGTCGAGGGAAAAAGGGCGCAAAGCGACCGTGGAAATCAAGTGATTTCCAGGTCTGCAACTCCTGATTCAAGCGCCCCCAGCAAATCGACGCGCCGAAACCAACACGACTAGCGCCATTCTGCTACCATAGCACAAGCACACAGAATCGACTTCGGCATAACAGCTTAGAGCAGCAACGCGTGCCACGATTACAGTCGGGGGGACCAGCCACGACAACTAGGGTTTAGGAAAGCGAGGTGTGTGGACAGATCTACGCGGGAGTGTATGCAAGCCACTATACCCGATTAGCTGCCAAATGCAAGCCTCCAAATGCAGCCACCCTAGGACACCGGCCCAGGCCCACGCGACTCCCAACCGTCAACGTACGAGAGTCACATACGCTCACGCCAGGGAGTCTCACACAATCTCACCTCGCTCCACGGTACGCCCCATAACCACCCTCTCATGTCATATCCTCATGATTTCGACTCCCGCCACCCGCCTCCCTGCTCCCACGACCCGCCTCCCACCTCCCTCCTCCCACCTCCTACCTCCCACCTCCCACTGGTCCTGTCCTGTCCTGTCGCTCCCTGCCCTGCCCTGCCCTGCCCTGCCCTGCCCTGCCCTGCCCTGCCCTGCCCTGCCCTGCCCTGCCCTGCCCTGCCCTGCCCTGCCCTGTCCTGCCCTGCCCTGCCCTGCCCTGCCCTGTCCTGTCCTGTCCTCTCCTGTCCTCTCCTGTCCTCTCCTGTCCTGTCCTGTCCTGTTCTGTCCTGTCCTGTCCTGTCCTGTCCTGTCCTGTCCTGTCCTGTCCTGTCCTGTCCTGTCCTGTCTGGTCCTGTCCTGTCCTTTCCTGTCCTGTCCTGCCCTGTCCTGTCCTGTCTGGTCCTGTCCTGTCCTGTCCTGTCCTGTCCTGTCCTGTCCTGTCCTGCCCTGTCCTGCCCTGCCCTGCCCTGTCCTGTCATGTCCTGTCCTGCCCTGTCCTGTCCTGTCCGGTCCTGTCCTGTCCTCTCCTGTCTGGTCCAGTCCTGTCCTGTCCTGTCCTGCCCTGCCCTGCCCTGCCCTGTCCTGTCCTGTCCTGTCCTGTCCTGTCCTGCCCTGTCCTGTCCTGTCCTGTCCTGTCCTGTCCTGCCCTGCCCTGTCCTGTCATGTCCTGTCCTGCCCTGTCCTGTCCTGTCCGGTCCTGTCCTGTCCTCTCCTGTCTGGTCCAGTCCTGTCCTGTCCTGTCCTGTCCTGTCCTGTCCTGTCCTGTCCTGTCCTGTCCTGTCCTGTCCTGTCCTGTCCTGTCCTGTCCTGTCCTGTCCTGTCCTGTCCTTTCCTGTCCTGTCCTGTCCTGTCCTGTCCTGTCCTGTCCTGTCCTGTCCTGCCCTGTCCTGCCCTGCCCTGTCCTGTCCTGTCCTGTCCTGTCCTGTCCTGTCCTGCCCTGTCCTATCCTGTCCTGTCCTGTCCTGTCTTGACTACCACCCCTTCCATCTAACCATTTCAATCTCTGATGTGTCCACCCATTCTGCCCTATGTGTCTACACATATTCGTATCTAACACTAGAGGTTTGTACTTGTGCGTGGGCCATTTCCTACACTTCCATGGAGGCACCCCCTCAACAATGTCGGGTTTCAATCTCTGTGCTTGCCCCTTACCCACTGCAGATGAGGCTATGCTTGTGGCCATCCCTGCGCCATCTCCGTTTTCCTTGTATTTCCTTGTTAGCTCGGTTTATTTCATAAAAAATTCCAGCAGTCTGGTAGATAACACTGCACGCCGTGGCCATGCTCAGGAACGATGCTCCCCTGAAAAGTGCAGTCCTCTGATTTTGCGACTAGCAGGGCCTTGCTTGCAGGTCGGCACATGGAGTGCCCGTCCTGTCATGACGCCCTTGACGCGACGGCGAAGCGAAGAGTGGCACTTGAGATTTATGAGGGCTATGAAGGCAGATCTCTCCTCTCGCCTACTGTTCTTTGGTGCATGGCATTCAGCAGTCCTTGTGTAATTGCCACTATGCAGATTAGTGCTTGCAACTTGGTGCTTGCATTTTTTCCACAAACACATCTGCAACCTAGGGATATACCCCTGAATCCTGGAATATGCAGTCACATACCGGTAGCGTTCATAGAGCGTTGCCTAATCGAGTGATTGCATCTCAAAGTCAATCTCTGGTGGTACCTCCCAATATTCTACGAATTCTACCACCTCCTCCGTCTTACAATTCTCGTACACTCCTTCCCCCTCTTCCATGTATACTGAGCCAAACATAACATACATCAGCTAGGGCAGCCAGGACTCTTGCATACATGTGATCCCCCAGCAGCCCGGAGTAGTCCAAGTAGCAGCGGAAGCGATGGTGCCTGGTTGCTCCTCATGGCTGCCGAGGGAGGGGACAGAGACGAGAGAAGGGAACAACTGAACTGGTTGCAGCACACACACCCGTTCAGTTGGTTGCTGCTCAGGCTGCTGGGGGGGGACAGATACCAGAAAAGGGAACAACTCAACTAGTTGCAGCTCACACCTCTTCGGCTGGTTGCTCCTCAGGCTGCTGACGGGACAAGGGAGCGACAGGACAGGACAGGACATACAAGGGGAGGGCAGAATAGGACATGGCAGGACAGGACAGGACAGGACAGGACAGGGCAGGGCAGGACAGGGCAGCGCAGGGCAGGGCAGGACAGGGCAGGACAGGGCAGGGCAGGGCAGGACAGGGCAGGGCAGGGCAGGGCAGGGCAGGGCAGGGCAGGACAGGACGGGGCAGGACAGGGCAGGGAAGGACAGGGCAGGGCAGGGCAGGGCAGGGCAGGGCAGGGCAGGGCAAAACAGGGCAGGGCAGGGCAGGGCAGGGCAGGGCAGGGCAGGACAGGGCAGGGCAGGGCAGGACGGGGCAGGGCGGGGTAGGGCAGGGCAGGGCAGGGCAGGGCAGGACAGGACGGGGCAGGACAGGGCAGGGCAGGGCAGGGCAGGACAGGGCAGGGCAGGGCAGGGCAGGGCAGGACAGGACGGGGCAGGACAGGGCAGGGCAGGGCAGGGCAGGGCAGGGCAGGGCAGGGCAGGGCAAGACAGGGCAGGGCAGGGCAGGGCAGGGCAGGACAGGGCAGGGCAGGGCAGGACGGGGCAGGGCAGGGCAGGGCAGGGCAGGGCAGGGCAGGGCAGGACAGGACGGGGCAGGGCAGGGCAGGGCAGGACAGGGCAGGGCAGGGCAGGGCAGGGCAGGGCAGGGCAGGGCAGGGCAGGGCAGGGCAGGGCAGGGCAGGGCATGGATGGAGGGGGGGGGGGGGGTTTGTTGGGGGTTGGCGCGAGGAGGGGAGGATGGGTGCGGGGCTGTGTGGGTGTTAGTAGGGGTGCAATCTTGAGGTCATCTCGGCATTCGAGAGGGCTGAGAGAGGGCGAGATGTGGGGGGGAAGGGGGGGCAGAGGGGCGGGGGGGGTGGTCTGTGAGATAATGGGATCCCGCGGACTGCAGAGACGTGGTCCAGTCCCTGGGTTGGGAACGGAGAGATGAGTATGTCTCCCTGCCGTAGCGTGTCTCCCTGCATTGGCGCGTCTCCCTGCCTTAGTGCGTATCTCTGCCTTAGCGCGTCTCCCTGCCTTAGCGCGTCTCCCTGCCTGGGCGCGTCTCCCTGCCTTAGCGAGTCTCCCTGCCTTTGCGCGTCTCCCTGCCATTGCGCGTCTCCCTGCCTTGGTCACAATGTGGCTATATACGTGCCTGCCTATGCGCGTCTGTCTATTGTCTTACCGCCGCTTTGGCCGCGTACGAGCGCTGCCCTGGAGGTGCACCCACAGTGCGTTCCAGTTGCATAAGGTTCTCTTGCTCTAGGGCGACACGATTGTGTGTGCTGTGGGTTGCTCTACGTACATTCAGCTGGGTTGAGCAAGCTGCGTGCGAGTGTTTTGTTTTCCCGCCATCTCAATTGTTGTGCAACTTTTACAGTCGCAGCGTAGGTCGCATGCACATTTCCGGTCAGCTTTTTGACGCGCAAGTCGTTTCGCCACTTTCTGGTTTCATCCTAAATCTGAATCTATGTTTGACTTCCACAAGCTACAAAGTAGGATGTCATCCCTTTCAAGTGGAAATTAATAGCTTGTCTTGAATGCTATTTTAGCCACGGGCTTTAAAAAAGCTTAGGACACTAGCTAGGTAGCTAAGATGAAGGAACGTAGGTAGGCAGCCTCTAGGAAGCTAAGAAGGCCGCCATGAAAATGGCGGCGGGGTTTAGCTAGAAGGTAGGCGAGAGTGTCGAGAGAGAAGTTGTCGATTAGGAAGAGAGAGGAGTACAAGGAGGGGATTGTACCCTCTACAGAAAAGTTCAGTAACAACTATCAAGCCTATCAATTATATATAACTTATATAATCTTGACACCGTCAACTACCCGCCCCGATGCATAGCCGCCCCGTGGCCCCGTCGCCCAGCCGCCCCGCGGCCTCGTCGCCCCGCTGCTCCACGGCCCCGTCACCCAGCCGCATCACGGCCCCGTCGCCCCGCTGCTCCGCGGCCCTGTCGCCCAGCCGCCCCGCGGCCTCGTCGCCCCGCTGCTTCGCGGCCCCCTCGCCCAGCCGCCCCATGGCCCTGTCGCCCAACCGCCCCGCGACCCCGTCTCCCCGTTGCTCAGTCGCCGTGTTTCCCCGTCCCCGCCCGCTTAACCGGCCCTCTCCACCGTCCTGCACCGCGCCCCACCGTGCTGCACCGCTCAACACCGCACTGCACCGTGCCCCACCGCACTGCACCGCGCCCCATCGCACTGCACCGCGCCCCACCGTACTGCACCGCTCTGTACCGCGTGGCACCGCACTGCACGACGCCCCGTCCCGCCCTTCACCGCCTG